TAAGGTAATTTTACAAAATTGAGTAACTTTTTAATAGAATTGACCACACAATAAATCCCTAACAAAACTAATCACTTTGGATGCTATTTTTTGAAGAAGAATAGAATATTAATTTTATCATTTTACTTTTTTTTCCATAAATTTTGTCATTTTACTTGTATTACATAACTTGATTATTTTGCTCGATTAACTTTAACGGTTAAAAACATGAAAAGGAAACGTTGCAATAAGAAATGATAATTAGGGAGTAAATTGTTTAGTTTAATAAATTGCGTACACTGAAAAAGTACAGCTAAACCTATAATAAAATATAATTAAACTGCATTTAGTCATTCAAGAAATATTAACAATATACTTTCTAATACACTATTAGTTATCAATTAAATTTATTAAAAATTAAAGTTTCATTCTTTCTTACTTCTAATTAAATAATTTTTCCCATGTAATTTTTAATAAATTTTAGTTAATAACTAAGATTGTATTAAAGATCACGGTCCTATCACTCCTCTTAATCATTTTATTTGACATAGATAGAAAGGCAATGATACTCGTGTTGCTTGAAAAAGATATTTTCTATTCTACAATTTATAACAGCAACTAATAATTTTGTGTATATTAATAAAAAGTTTATTAATTACCTTTTTGTGCTAAACATGCTCAAGTCAGCCCAATTCTCGGAAACCGAAGATATAGAAAAGCTTCATCTTTTTTTTGGGCCCGAAGGATATTTCCAAGTCAAAAAACAACGGAGGACTACGCCATTAATGTTGCCCAAAAGAATAAAAGAACATCGCCATTCGTTACACCTATATTTTATTTGAACTTTACATAGGAATTTAATATTTACAAAAGGAAAATAAAATTTTAAAGTGTGTTTGTTGGGTACATAATTTAATTATTTATTTATTTAATACGTATGTTACAATTCTTTAAAATATATATTGGGCCGCAATGAAACAAAACAAGGAACAAAAATCAGGCTCTCTCTCACACACAGGCTCCATAAAAAGCTTAAAATTGGAACTGTTTTGATACTAATAAAAAAAAGAAACTAGAAATTCAATTGAAAAGAGACCCCTCATTTTAGTGAAAGCATATTACATAGAGCATTTACTCATCTACACGCATTCAACTTATTACAGATAAACTGGTATGTCAAATACATTAGCAGAGGAAGGCTACGTTTTGAGTTACCCTTTATCAGTGGATATTGTATTTACTTTTAAACTACTCTAATAAAATAAATATTTTATATCAACAACAGGATATTAATACAAGTGTAAAAATTAATATCATCTTAAACTTTTTTATATAGACAGACAAAAGATAATAATCTTTTTCTTCTTTCTAATTAGTGTGTGGTTAATTTCTCTCTTTTATATAAACAGAATAGCTGTATTTAAAAGCTAGTAGGTACGCATCTGTATCCTCGTCACTATGCTTTAATTACGCCCTTTTTATTTGGACGAAGTCACAACCGCAAGTAGCTTTTTTTATTAGAATAATTCTAAATTATTTTAATTTTTTTAATTATTAAGTAAAGAAGTTATTAAATATTTTTAATTTTTTTAAAATAATAAATATGTGTTTTTATTCAATAATTATTTATAATAGTAAAATATTTAAAATTATATAAAAATATATTAATAAAATTTTCTTGTTACACTAATTTAATGTCGTGTTTGATTAATAACAATTTCATATACCCCTTCCTCAAGTCGTTCGTTAGAATACAATATTCTTAGAGCGATAATGAAAAAAAAGTTCGAAATATAATTAAAACCGTCAATTTAATGGCTAAAAAAAAACCCCGTCAATTTAAACTATTTAATTTAGTTTGATCCAATATAAAAAACAAGTTTATATATATTGGGTTTAAAAAATATATAGTTATGCGGGTCTCGGAAATAACAATCTATATTTGATCCTATGGAAATAGCAAATTTATATGAGTCAGTGTGTATAATAATTTATTTTACCTTTTGCTCAAAAATTTATTTTATTTGATTAACTCTATATTTTCAATACAAAGAGTTAAAAAAATAAGTTCAATCTAACAAATTTAAAAGCATTAAAACTCAACATTATCAGTCCATTTAATAAATTAAAAACAAAAAGCCTTATCAATCTGTCTAATAAATTTAAAATATTTTAAACAAACTAGTTAAATGCAACAAAATTATATTTAAATATAATTTTTTATAAAGAATAAGATTTCTTACACTAATATAAGTTTAAAAAACTCTTATATTTAATTTGAATTTTTTATTTAACTTACATCTAACAACTTATAATTTATTATTTTACAGTAAATTAAATAAAAAATTCAAACTAAATATAAATTTTTTTAAATTTATATAATTTTTTTTCTTTTTATTACTAAGAGAAAGAAGAAAATAGTATTGCGAGGAGCTCAAACTCGCATAAGTATTGGACTTCACTGAGTTAGACTAAAGTTTGAAACTTAAATTTATTGTCCTGTCCAAACCTTTAATTTTTGCACACATATTTAAACTAATTCATTTATTGGATCTATTTAGAGAACTCTAATTATAATTTTCATATTATTGTATGAATGATTAAACTTTTTTAAAATTATTTTCAAGCCCTTTTTTTCACACAACTTTGTCATATAAAAAAATGTATAAGCATTAATTATAAACTATGTGAAAACCTCAAATTGTTATCAGAATTGTTGTTCTCCCAGATAATTGTTTTTTAAACTATTGTAGGTCTAGATGAATATAAATAAGCAACTAGTGTGAAAAAAAAGAACAAGAAAGTTTCAATGAAGAATCCCAGTAAAGTGCAAGAGGGAATATATGATTATAAATTTAAGCTGTATGAAGCTTTCTGATCGCAGCCACCAACCAGCATGTGGGGCGTGGCTGAGCTGTGCGAAGATTTGGAGAGGAATTGTTATGCAGACATAGTCATTATATCAGTGATAATTATTCAGACAATACTTCAAACCCGCATCGTTCGCCATAGTTTTAGACTATATTTTAATCGTATTGTAATAAGTCTATCCTATCCTACGTACACCCTATTGTATTGTATTATTGATTACGTAGTTTATTCAAATTTAACATTAGACTCAAGTTCGGTAGGCCACTCAAGAAACTAATTAATTTGCTTCACTCATTTTCTTATTCAATAACTCCTATATTTTGAACATTTCAAGTTTTCCGGCTACTGAAAAAAACAATGTATGAAAAAGAAGAGTTATTAAATAGCGGGAAAGAGAGAGAGAGGAAAGAAAAAGGAAGAGTTATTAAATAATGAAGGATCGGAAAGAATATGTACAATACTATAGAAAAAAGGAGACAAAAAATGAACGACACCATTGCCAACGCGTGTTGTCTGAGTGGGAAAGAAATATTAATAGGAAGAATTTGACTCTTACATATTTAGTCTTTTATATATTCACTGAATGAGAAAATATTATGCAACTGTGAAAGTTATTAATCTTAGACGTTAAGACATGCTAAAATGAAAGAATAATTTACGGTTGTGAAAAATCCTTTTGTTAAATATGTTGGCATGGCTCAATAAGTAGCTAAGGATAAGCTAATGTGACCATTTTAGAGAACTCAGTATATTTAGATGAAAGTAATGGATTTACAATGGCAGATTTAGAAATTGTGTAGTTTAATTATTAATTAAATATAAAAAAAGTATTTAATATCTTATTTTTTAAGTTATTAGAATATGCCATCAATGTTATTTTTTTAACCCATGTTTAAAGGGAAAAGAAATTATCATAAAAATGAAGAAAAATACTAGTAGCGTAACACAGGTACAAGATATTTTATACAGAAATAAAAATATAGTTTTGCATTTTTGGGAGAAAATATTGTCCTAGATTATCGATAAATGTGTATATATTTTTTATTAATGAGTCTCTTTCTCTCCCTCACACATACACTCACATAATTGTTCTTATTCAATTAGTGAGAACAATGTGAATTTTAGTTAGCAATAAAAAAATAACATGTTAATAACATTTGTTAATAAAATTTGAATCCTTGATAAATTGAAAAAACAGGAGTCCGTTTTCTTACATGCATAATCTAGTCTCCTTCAGCGCAGTGTTATCTCCAATGCTCGAAGACATGATTCCTTAGGCAATTTAAGATTGTTCCTTGTATCCACTTGGAGGGGTGGCACCAATGCCTAACAGGTTATAATATGTCCCTTGACTTTATAATGTGGACACAAACTTTGGGTTTTTTTCTTTCTTCAGTAAGTGTTATCTTATGAATTTTCCATACAATGTGTTAAGGGAGTTCACGTATAGTTGAAAGAAAGAGGAATGGTATAATGTTGTCAGTTAAATTGAATAAATAGGAGTATATTATAAATGAAAAGATGAGCTGTGCAAGAATGCATCATGCATGTAACTGCAATTATTTCAGACTAAATTATAGTAACTACTCGCGTCATGCTGCCCATAAGTCTCTACAATTTAAAATAAGTCGGCATTATTTTATCATAGAACAATAATTTGAGTAGGATTGTGGGAATATCATACATCACTGCTTTAAAATGTGAAAAAAGAAACTGCAATGAGTCATGAGTTTTGACAACTAATCACTCAGAACATATGAATACATATACTATAAAAATTTCTCTCATTGAAATTTTTATCCTTGCGTACCAATCTTGTTTAATCACCATATAATTAAAAATTGTCACCTCACCCTCGTCATGAATCGGAACTTGGTAACAGTTTATTAGAGAGAGAAGGTTGGGAGGATTTTCAATGGTCAACGCAGATATGGGTAGCAGAATACCAGAAAAGAAAATGGAGAGCACCAAAACAGACCAATTCCACCCTTTTCTGTTCTCCCCTCCTCAATTCCAAATCCATTTCCTACTTGTGTCACTCTTTCACTTCATCAAATTACACCATGAAACCTATCATAAACTTGTCTTATATTTTCTTTTTGTTCACTACCATCTCAGCTTACACTTTTTCAGATCATATCAAACCAAATTTCACTGCTTCATATCTTCAGTTCATTGACAACAGTGGCACCTTCTTGTTGTCTCGCAACAACTCTTTCAAGGCTGCTATATTCAACCCTGGTGGTCAACAAAGCAGTTTCTATCTATGTGTCATTCATGCTGCATCCAACACTATAATTTGGTCTGCTAACCGTGATGATCCCATCTCAGATTCTGATCAAATGCTTCTAACTGTCCAAGGGATCACAATTCTTGATAAAGGTGGGAACATCATATGGTCAACACCACCATTAAAATCAGCAGTGAATAAACTTGTGTTGACTGAGATGGGAAATATTGTCTTACTTGATCAGAGTAGTGATTCTCTTTGGGAGAGCTTCCAGCATCCAACTGACACAATTGTTATTGGACAGCGTTTACCTGTTGGGGCATCATTGACAAGTGCTGCATCCAATTCAGACTTGTCAACAGGAAATTACAAGCTCGTAGTTACTTCCTTTGATGCAATACTGCAATGGTATGGACAGACATATTGGAAACTGTCACTGGATACAAAAGCCTATAAGAATTCAAATTATGTGGCGGAATATATGTCCATAAACACTACAGGCCTTTATCTCTTTGGACAAGATGGAACAGTGCCTGTCTTTGTAGTTGGGTTGCCACTGGCTAATTTTCGAATAGCCAAAGTGGCTATTTCTGGCCAGTTTACTATTATGAGCTTTTCTGGCACTGATTGGAAGCAAGAGTTTGTGGGGCCAGATAATGGTTGTCAGACTCCTATAGCTTGTGGAAGATTAGGTTTATGTACTGAGGACTCTGTATCCTCTTCACCAGTTTGTTCTTGTCCCCCAAACTTCCACGTAGACGCAGGTAATTTTGGTGGTTGTGTGCCAAGCAATGGATCTTATTCTTTGCCATTTGCTTGTAGTTCTACTCTTAACAATAGTCAATCAAATTCTTCAGTTGTTTCATTTTTTAAAATGGGGAATGTAGATTACTTTGGCAGGGTTTACTCTGATCCAGTTTTTTATGAAATGAATTTATCTGTCTGTCAAGATCTTTGTTCCACTAACTGTTCCTGCTTGGGGATTTTCTATAAAAGCTCATCTGGTTCTTGCTATGTGGTTGAGGATAATTTGGGATCCATTCAGTCAAGTAATGGAGGTAAAAATGATCTAGTGGGATACATTAAGGTTATTGCCACAGCCACAACCGATATTGATGATGATGACAGTGATGGTGGACAAACTTCTCAAAATGGGGGGTTTCCTGTGGTAGCAGCAGTGATGTTACCTGCCATTGGGTTCATTGTTTTAATGGCTCTAGTTGTTCTCATGTGGAGAAGATTGATACTGTCAAAGAGGCAAGAAATGAAATTAGGGAAACCCAGTTCACATTCTTCTGGGGACCTGGAGGCCTTCCACATTCCAGGCTTGCCTTCAAGATTTGACTTTGAAGAGCTTGAGGAGGCTACTGAAAACTTCAAGACTCTAATAGGATCAGGTGGGTTTGGAGCTGTATACAAGGGTGTGTTGCATGATAAGTCTATTGTGGCAGTAAAGAAAATAGTGAACATAGGCATTCAAGGGAAAAGAGATTTCTGCACTGAGATTGCTGTTATTGGAAACATTCACCATGTTAACTTGGTCAAATTGAAGGGATTTTGTGCTCAAGGGAGACACCGTTTGTTGGTTTATGAGTACATGAATCGTGGATCCTTGGACCGAAACCTCTTTGGTGGTGGACCCGTTTTAGAATGGCAAGAGAGGTTTGATGTGGCCCTTGGAACAGCACGTGGACTTGCTTACTTGCATAGTGGTTGTGAGCAAAAGATAATTCATTGTGACATCAAACCCGAGAACATTCTCTTGCAAGATCAATTTCAGGCTAAGATATCTGATTTTGGACTCTCGAAACTCCTGAGTCCTGAACAGTCTGGTTTATTCACCACAATGAGAGGCACTCGTGGTTATCTTGCTCCTGAGTGGCTTACTAACTCTGCAATCACCGAAAAAACTGATGTGTATAGTTTTGGAATGGTGCTTCTTGAACTCGTTAGTGGAAGGAAAAACTGTTATTTTAGGTCGAGAAGCCATAGCATGGATGAAAGCAACAGTGGTGGGGGCAATTCTGATGCCTCATCAACAACTGGGTTGGTTTATTTTCCACTATTTGCATTGGAGATGCATGAGCAAAGTAGTTACTTGGAGTTGGCTGATCCAAGGCTAGAAGGGCGTGTTACATATGAAGATGTGGAGAAAATGGTTCGTATTGCATTGTGTTGTGTTCATGAAGAACCAGCACTTAGGCCTAACATGGTTACTGTTGTTGGCATGTTGGAAGGTGGCACTCCGTTGCCACAGCCAAGGATAGAATCTTTGAACTTTCTTCGCTTTTATGGTCGTAGGTTTACTGAGGCTTCCACTATAGCAGAAGAAAATGAGTATGGCTCTAGGCTGCAACAACTAGCACGTGATTCTATAAGCATGGCAAGTTCACCAACTGGTTTTTCATACATGTCTTCACAAAATATCTCAGGGCCAAGATAGGGAATTCTGTTTTTTTTTTGTTTGGTTGGTTTGGGACTTACTTTTTGGCATATATATATATATGTATGTATTATATGTCATTCACATGTTTTTATGTAAATGATCTATTAATTCTCCCATTGGCAATGGTATATTGTCTAAAGGATGAGAAAATTCACAAGGATATCTTTTGGACGTTGGTTTAAAAATTTAGGAGATTCACAACAATATTTCTTGTATTCTACATAATAATATAAAATTCCTTGACAATGAGAATTATTTTATTATACGTTATTCATTCTTAAGTCGTTCAATTATATCGTTATTCCCGAATAATGATATTCTTTTATATATATTTTTTGTTATCAACTTTTTATATTTTATTTTCAAAGGAAAGAACACTTTCAACTGATAAGGTCTTTTACTTTTAAAGCAAATTAAAGAAATCAACGCACTTCATGAATCAAATGGGGAATTTGACATCTAACTCCTTCGCACATTGTTCAGGAATTCCTCTCATCTACGTATCCCATATATGTTAATATCTTATAATTTTTTCTATTGGGGAAGCTTATTGAATTTTCGATAGCGATACTCAGCATAGGTTTTTGTTGAAAATTTAGGTGGATTTTGATGATTGACGATCGAGGGAAGTGGTCCAATCATCGCCTTATGTGGAGGCACGACAAATAATGCCCATGACATGCGCTTGCTCTCCTTGTTCACCAAACTTCGGTGTAGAACACTCTTGTACTTTCCATTGCTTATCACCTAGCACAAAAATTTATGTACCAAGAAGGTCATTTTTTATTAGAGTTAACCTTGAATCACATTCTCTTCTTTTTGTATAGTAAACTACGACCCCATGTTTTTTCAATGGACCAAGCTTATGCTCAATTGTATACGCCTTTTTTATGGTATTTTTCAATTAAAATTTTACCTTACTAACACATGTTAATATATCGTTATTGAGGATGTCCTTGCATATATTTTGTTACAATATGACATGAATTTACCTCAAGTTGATCACCAATGTGTACAAAAAGTGCATTTGCAAAGTAATTTACTGCAATCCAGTTATCGTCCTTCCAAACTTGGAGGCCTGGAACATCATTTGAGACAAGTAAGGTAAGGGCAGACATGTCAGTGTGAGGCTCAACACCCAATGCCAGTTCTGGTTGTGGGCATGGTGGATACATATTTATCTTCATTTCTATTTCTATTTCTTCATCTCCCAAGCAGGATTTCAAAACCTTCCTCTCCAACCCGAGCCCTTCAGACAAAAGCTCCAAAACCTTGTCAGTTACCCTCGAGATCTCCTTATTGTATTCTCGTGTTACCTCCCTATCACACACAAAATAACGTTAGTATATGGTTTGTTACGGGCTTTGAAAGTTACTATGCAGTAAGAAAGATATTTATATTCGGACTAATACCTAATCAAGTATAATATATCAACAATTGAGATTCTAGTGGAGACACAGAATCAAGAATTGAGCTAATTGTCATTCAAACAACTCATCGGTATCTTAGACTTAGACTTAATATATATGTTTAATATGCGATATTAATATATGCTAGTAATTCTAGTGGAGACACAGAATCAAGAATTGAGTTTCTATTTCTCATTACAAAAACCAATGCAAAGTGATGCCTGAAATGCAAGAGCATATTTAATTATCCATGCATACGGATAACTTAGCACGAACCTGTAGGAAGGAGGGTTTTTGGGCCACATGTCATAGTTGACCTTAGAAGGAGGAGACATTAGATGAAAATAATAGTCGACCCACTCCACCTTTTCTTGAAGGTTCTTGGTCATCTTGGTCCCATAGCCCTCAAAGCTACCCGTGGAAGGGTTATTTGCATATTCTTCCTTCTGCTTCTGAGGGAGGGCAAAGAACTCTTGACCCACTTCTTGCAAACGTTGGATTAGTGTTGTGGATATACCATGGTCGGTGATGAGAAAGAATCCCCACTCGGAGGCTGCTTCCGTGACATGCTTCACCAAAAGATGGTGTGGTTGAGACAGTGAGATGATAGGCACAGTGACACCCTCCATGGCCTTGCTATTCTTTGGCTGTTCATTGGCTGGGCGAATGAACTGGGGTGGTAACTCCTTGAGCTTGTTTAAAGCCAAGGTTTGTATTCTTTCTGATTCCATAATTAAACAGTGAACAGGTTTCCAAACTAGCTACAATAACGTGGAGTGAAGTTGACATCAGTTTCAAGGTGATGGGAATATAAGGAAATGGACTTCAGCACAACATATCGACAACCATTTCTTGGAACCATTCTATATATCTTATAGTATATGCATAAACGGATTAACTAGTCAATCAACCACATTTTGAAATCTTTGTAAATATATCTACCAACCATTCAACTGGCGCATCACTAATTTGAATTTGTGTATAAAGACTGCTTATGATCGTTTTAGCAAGAAAAATAAACGCATAGTAAATAAAAACTGAAGGCTTAATTAAACATTTAACTTACAACTTATAATCAATATTTTTAAAAACAGAATCAGTCATTTAATAGATGAATTGAAGAAACTAGTTAGTTCTGAAACAGTAACTGTGTATGTATTTATGTTGTGTTAGAGTTACATGTTAGATAGATTAATAAATTTTTTTATATACACACAAACCCTTTCATGCATAGCATTGATTGATTGCATTCACTAATCAACATTAATCAATCTTATGCATGGTTGCATGAATTTGGAACCTTTTTTTTTTTTTCACTTAAAAATAGCTACACAAAAATGCTATTCACACATGCAAGTTCACACTATTTAATATTTGTTCATAAAAAAAGTGTAAAAATTACATTTTAGTTTTTTTCTATATATTTTAATTAACTAAACTGTCAGTAACAAAAATGAGTATAAAAATTTAAGTACCTAACAAATATGAAATCATGAAATCGGAGATTAAAATTAGTACTCCACAACTATGGATATCAATATAAATAAATTTTAAGAACATGAATATGGGAAAAAGTTTATATTATACCTTAAATAAAAGCAAAGTGAAGAGTTGAATATAGATAAAAGAGGGAGAAATAGGTATTGAATGAGGTGAAAATAAGAAGAAGAGGAGAAGAGTTAGGTATGAGATTGAAGGAAAAGAGAGTTAAGAGGGAAAGAGAAGAGTTAGGTATAAGAAAAATAAGAAAGTTAAATGCGGTTGAATATGAAAATTTAGAAAGAAATGTTAAGTTTAAGGAGAAGGATAAGAGAAAATAGAGTGAAAATTAAAATTTTCTGTATATTTTTTGTTTAAACTTATTATTTTTGTTTAAGCTATTTTTGATTTAAACCATTTGTTTTATAAAAATTAACTTAAGTTATTTTGTTATTATTTTAAACGAAAATAATTTATTTTTGTTTAATCAAACTTTTTGCTTCAACAAAAAATAAATTGGAGGTCCAGTTTGCTTAATGCCAAGATAAAGGCTAAACTCTTATCGTTCTTGTTTATGAACATACCAACACAATTGCTTAAGTAAAAAATAAAATGAAAGTCCAGTTCGCTTAATGCCAAGGTAAAGGCCAAACTCTTACCGTTGTTGTTCATGAACTTACCAACACGATGCAAATAACGTTGCGAACTGGATGCCCGCATAACAACATTAAATTAAATCCAATCCAAGCATACTTTTTGAATCCTCCTTGTCAGTAAAGCAGCACTGTAGACACATTGTCGGCCAAAACGATATTTTATTTTATTTAGTTTGCTACGCATACTACAAGCAGTTGATAACTTATTCTCATACGTCTTAATCTCTTATTATTTTTATCTGTTTTATAGTTGTAAAAAATTGTAAAAGTTTATCGCAAAAAAATTTTGCCAATCGCAAAGCCTGTGAGTCAGGAATGTTTGACACTTGGCAAGTTGTTAATTTTGCAGCAAGTTGAATGGCCAACAATTTTTTATTGGTGATGGCTTATCATCGAAACAAGTATTGACAATACAAGCCTTGTAAACTGCATTGTGAGCGCCTAAAATAATTTTTTTCCTTTTTCTCCAACCGCCATGGTTTACTTTGCCCCCACTTTTATTTTTAAATGAGAATTTTCAAAAGTATGGAACCAAAATATTAATACTCACAATTTTAAGAATTAATATATGAATTTATTCGTGCTCAAAATAATATCCGCACGCTTACTTTCTATTGTTCTGTGATGTGACTTTGGTGAAAGTTTGTAGGAACTGTGTAACCTTGGACTAGCAAGCCAATAACATTGTGCAAATACACAAGTAAAACCAGCATCGAATGATCCTTATCCTCGGGACATTACATCTATATTAATAAAACCTGTGAGCTCATAAATATTTATCAAGGATCTATCAGCTTCAAACTTCGCTTTACACCCAATCTCAACATTGACAGATCAATCTCCTTTTAGAGTAGTAAATCTCTGAACTGTTGACTCCTCTGTAAGAAAATTCACTATCTTCAAAATTAGGAGATTGTCATGAAACCTCTGAGGTTCAACCACATTAAATGTCAAAACAAGATTTTGCCGTGTCCGTTTGCTATGTGTCAATGTCAAACCCTTTTGTCCAAACAGGTATGCAGTATATTAAGATTCCTAAAGAGAATGACACACATACTGTAATAATAGCATATGCATATGCTCTCCAAGGATGACTGCTTTCTCTCATTGCATTAAACTCAGCAGCAAAAGTAGAGACAGTACTTAGACACCCCATCAAACCAAATTGTATTCCTGCTACAACAGTATCACAATCCTTGGTGTTCACCTGCATCAACCAAGGAAATGATGGTCATGACCTTCAAAATTGTGATGCAAATTCTCTTCATTTTTGTGTGGGGCTTAGAGCATGAATGATGATAAAGAAACTTACTGCATTCTTTAGACTCGCCAGTGCAGCCATAACACAAGCAGCTGAGACATTGGCAATTAAAGTCCCAAATGGAATCCATTTGAACAACCCTTCCCTTCCTAACCCACGTCCATTGAGTCTGGCTAAGAACCATCTAATCCACACACCTATAGGTCCAACCATGCAAGCAAACCATAACTGAGCAGCATTGCCACCATGCTTGAACGCAGCTTTTACTAGTGCACCACTGACACCCCATAATATGCCCAACATCACCAAAAACATCATCATAACTATCAGTTGTCGGCGGTAGCTATCTACTTTGCAGTTGGTCTTAGAGCCATCTTTTCCTGAACTCATATTCAGCCTATTGAGAAGCCACCTGAAACCTTTGGCAGTTTCAATCCCAAATATGATGGAAAAGGCAACGAGAAATAAACCTGAAAATTTTCATTTGTGAAACAAATTCCTCCTATCAATTGAGCCCTTATGATAAAAATAAATAAATAAATTAAAAAAAATAACACATCAACTTATCTACTCGGGATAAATATTAAAATTTTTGAATGAAACAATGACAAGCTTATAAACTGTAAGGCACCCCTATTAATCAACTTATTTACCTATTAGAAAGCCAAGTGCAGCGAAGAGCCAATGCCCGGAAACACTAAGTTCAAGCATTTTTTGATTCCAACCACTGAAGGTTGTTAGGCTCCCTAAGTAACCAGTTGTTATCGCTATGGCTAGATGCTCTGACACATTAGATATGTCTCCTTTGAATACAACGCCAAACCATCCCATAAGAAAGGAACCAATCTGGAACGAAATGTGAAAAATTTGCATTAGAATGCTATCTGAATCAGCTTTCTTTTGAATGAACTTCAAAATAGACTTTGCTTTTACTTTCACCTAACAATTTGAAACTTCAATTAGATTGATTTTATTAAAGCAATAATCAAATCTAATTTGCAATTATAATCTATACATAAAGGACTAAAGTGTCACCTGACAACAAATCTAAAAAGCCATTCAGATTGACTGTATTATAGCAAGGTTCAAAACAAAATTTTTAATTCTATACCCTGTAGATTAAGAATGTTCCTATTTGACCCAACACAAAACATAAAGGCGGCACAAATTTTCTCTATTGTTAGAAAAGCAAAAAGATACATTATAATCTGTATGAAACCAAGACACAGAAAAATAATGAAAATGGAAAAGGGGACATACCATATTAGAAGGAAGGTCAAGGTAAAGAATAGTTTGGTTGCTAGTCACATGGGCAACCCCAGGGCCAAATAACTTCTGTAGTAAATATCTTGTTAAGACCTGCATATTTATTATAATAATTTGTGTATTAGATTCTTGTAGATAACTACATGTAACATAAAGTTTGACAACAAAAATGATGTCATTGTGCTAATCACTGTTGAAAATTTTCCATTCTCTCTCAAATAGCAGAAGAATTATGAACTAAAACAATTGCAAACATAATTAATACATTCTGCACCAACCAATATGCATCCACACTGCACCAGAAGAGTACCATGTGATAATGCCATCATAGCTATATATACATAACATTTTAAAGCAAAAGGTTAGCAATTTATTACCCCAAGAATTCCAAAAACAGCTAAATGAACCATACATGAAGCATAGTCCAGCAACTTTGGCAAACCTTTAGGAGGTTCCTGAAAATAGATAACAATAATGTAAATGTGTAAAGTAGTAGCATCATATGAAAATACTCGGATTTATCCATAGATCATCTGGTTAATTAATAAGCAAAACACAGAAACCAAAAAGCTCATACCACAAGGAAATTAAGTGTTGAAGAGAGCTCACTTGTTTTGTGTCTTCAGAACCCACTATTGCATCAGTAGAAAGAGGGGTGGTGGATGTAAATCCAAGAGGCAAAGGGTTAATAGAAGAGTTAGGGTGCAATCTATATTCCTCAGGAATGGAAACAACAGCTCCACATTCTGACTTGTTGTCAGAAGCCAAGTGGAAGCTGCTGCTCTCACTGAACCTTCTGCTTGGAAGAGCTCGATCCCCAATATCTCCAGCCTCTGAAACACTTTCACATTCACCATCATTATCTGTTTGATGGCTTATTTGACTTGATATGCTCAATGAGCGCCTCCTTATTGAAGAACCAGCGCTATTCATTCTCTCCATGTAAACTCTAACACAGCCACCGGACTTGTTTCACCACCTAAAACTGCGTTGAACACCCAACTAAATACTATGTTGACTCATGTAGCTGCCACCAATGCTGACCTTGTTTGTTTTGCTTATTTTTTTGTGTGGTACGAAAATGATGGTTGGATTTTTCAGTTACTTGACAAGTTTAAATGACAATTGGCTACTTACCCATTTTATTATGTTTAGACTCTTTAATAATACTTATAATTCCAACCCCTATACAACAATCCTGTACATCAAGGAGCACATAATTACAACTTTCCCTTAAGATAAAAATGAAAAATAAACAATTTCAACCCCAACATAAAGAAAATGAAACAAACACGTTATATAATCAATTTAATAATGGGTGATGTATATAAGTACACCAAAAATTTTTCCTACCCAAGCGATGACTTATGGATTCCAAGGATAAACGTATGGAAACAACCCACAGGAAAAGGGGTAACATAAGTTATGCAACCGTCAATGATGTCACCCAAGGAGTATTTGACTACTTGGCGAGTTATGGGCAGACCAGGGCAGGGCTACAAATTCTATGGGTATGATCTTTAGTCATCTTCTTTGAGGATACGCAACAGGAAATTCAAATGGCTATTGAATTAGTGGACCTGGCTACACAAAATAAAAATGGCATAATATTAATGGTACGAAAAGAAAAAGGCATAATATGTCAAACAAAGGAGGTTCAAACGTAAGGTGCCTTTTTCACAAGAAAGAAATGCGAAGCTGAGACATAGAGTTGCATTTGAGGATAACTATTGTGGTCAATGATAGGAGTCAGCTATTGAAATAGATTACTTCCACACATACATCTCTTTCTTTTTAAAAGATTCTATTACTTTTTTTATTATTAAATTTACTCTCCCCCTGCAGCAGGTCATACAAATAAAAACACTTGCATGATTTAATTTATCATTTGTTTGTGAAATAATACTATAATTTAAGGTTCAAAAGACACCAAGAAAGTGAAACAATTCTTTTCTTTTAGGATTGTGTGGCTTGTATTTCATTTTTCTTAATCTACGTCACGAAATATTTTATAAGAAGGTGGGACTAACCTTGGAGGGGCAAAAGCATTTGGCATATTCATCTCACAGATCGAGTCTAACATGCACCGTCCACGGGGATTTGGTGATTCTGGTTATAATTCTATATAGCATTTCCTTGTCCCTTACGGAAGGTGCCAACTAGAAGATTCTCAATTCTATGTAGCCAACAACTTCCAAAGCATCCAAAACCCAGCGGCATATACACCTTAACACATTATTAGAACGAGACAAAAAAAAATAAATCATTATTTCATAAAATGTTAAATCAAATCACAACCATTACAAACATTATAAGTAGTCTCTAAGGAATTCAAATTTAAAAACTACAAATGCAAATATTGGCTTTACAATAATATATACTATGATATATTATATAATCCTTGCATTTTTCATGGCACTACATTTGTGTGATACTATTTGCCTATGCTGATTGATATGTCGATTGGTTCAGGCGCCTCAATAGAGCTCGATCCATCTATCTACAGATACAAACACTAGCGCAAGAAAATCTAATGATGTTTAACTGATAATAATACACCTAATTCAGAAAAAAATATACACTTAAGTCAGGTACAAGTGGACTAGACCTCACAAATACACTTGCATTTTTTCTTCACATAAGCAACTAATCGATGGTGCTATTATTTGGTGCAAATTGAGGAACATAAAACATATTAGATAATAATAGAGGTCATATATGATAATAAAATGTTAAATATAATGAGAGAGGTTGCGTACTTGTCAAAAGTTATCTTCTTTAGAAGATTACGTTGTCTTCCCTAAAAGACCTGACCATACCATATATAACCATAATTTAATGGGCCTTTACTTCAAAAGCGCATTTGGATAAGATCTTATTAGTTTTACAAAATGGGCCTATGCATAAAAGCCCTTTAGAATACGGTCATTATTCTGGACCAAAAAAGGGAACACAGCCTTTATTGATCTTACAAATTCAAAACTTGTTATACAAAATTATCACAACATAAAAAAACAAACAAACAAACAAAATTATCACAAAATTAGTGTGCTTTATAATATTAGCGACACACTTTGTTCAATATATCTTTTAACATATTTATTGCGATTATTTTTTGAAACAAAGTTAAAATAATTTTTAAGAAATTTTAATTTAGAAGGTAAATATCTACATATAGTTCTCTCAGCTTATTTTCAATAAATCTAAAAAAAAATGATTCCACCAATCGTCCTCAAGTAATTTAGATTAGAAAAATGCAAAATGACCTACTCTATTAATCGAAAAATTGTTGAATACTTATAGAAAAACATAATTTTATTATAAATTAATATAACTATATACGTGTCAAAGTAAGTTCATATTTATCAAGAAGTGTTAAAAATGTTGTGAAAATGCTAACAAAAAAGTAAAAAAGATTTATCAAAATTTGCAAAAAAAAAAGAAAGATATAATTTCTATACTTTGTAATTCTATCCTATTTTTTTATAGTACCAAACACGTTTAATTGGAAGGAAAAAATAGGAAAAGAAAATAAAAAAAAAGCTTTAAAAAGGCATAAGAATCAAAGCTATAATAAAAGGGGGGGGGGGGGGGGGGGTTTACGTACCCGTTAGCCGTTAGGAGGAATGTGAAAATATCGGAATGGAAGCCGAGCCACAGGATATGAACGGAGCTATAGAAGCAGGGATGTGAGGAAAAGATGACGAATGCTTTGTGATGTTGAATTTGCAGAATATGAAAGAGATCGAAAAGCAATAGCATGGATTCACTTTGGCGATTGCAACTGGGGAAGGTGCAACTCCCAACTTTACATTGCATCAGTGCCCTCGTTTCGGAGGGAAGAGGCTCATTTTATAGGAGATTTCTTCGGTCTTTAAATTGGAGTTTTGGAACCCCCAACTAAATTTCAAAGCACTAACGAGAAATGTGTTTGTTATGCCATATCATTCTAAAGATAAGATTTTTAAATATTGTAATATAATTTTTACATCTAATCCTTTTTTAATTTTTAATTCTAAATTTTCCTATTGCATACATTCAAAAATCACTGCAACGAACTCACTAAGCATGGTATACATTATTGAAAATAAATAAATGATTACTTGGCTAGTTTACATATATTTGTGTGCTTTATAATATTAAAAAAACAAATAAAATGATCACAAAATTAGTGTGCTTTATACTATTAGCGACACACTTTGTTTAATATATCTATTATCATATTTATTGCGATTATTTTTTAAAATAAAGAATAATTTTTTAAAAAATATTAATTTATAAGGTAAATATCTACAATTAGTTTCTCTTAGTTTATTTTCAATAAACAGAGAGAAAAGATTCCACCAATCGTCCTCAAGACTTCAAGTAATTTAGGGTTAGAAAAATGCAAAATGGCCTACTCTTGTTAATAGAGAAATTGTTGAATACTTATAGAATGTCATGTGAACATGTTTTTACAACTAAATTAATTATCGAACCTACCAAAGTATTTACTGATTTAGTAATGATTAACTATCATAAATGATTAAGATTATTTAAAATAGTTATAATTTTAACTATTTATTTTAATTATATGATTAGCAGTTACTGCTCCCACGCTACCATTTCTTGCATGACACGCGTCCTCTTTCTATGTGTGTAATGTGTATCAAACTCATATTATGTATTTTGTAAAATATAAAATTAACGATAAAAAGTTAAATAATCATCCAGTGAATAACACATGAAATATTGCAAAGAAAGGATAATTACTATAGTGCTTTTGAAGCACCATGTTGGGTAATGAATGAAATATCCAAACATATCATAATATAAAGATTAAAAAGACATTGCCTTGGCCAATTACATATTTATTATCTCACTGATCTGTTTTTTTGAATTTGGTATCACCGGCAATTACACTTTCATCCTCCCCAAACCAACTATCGTGAAATCGGTTGACGAAGACGAAATATCAGAGTGAAGAAGCACAGCAGTAAGAACGAGAGGGATCATACATCCACAGCATAATTTTGTTTTTGTTTTGAAATATACAAACACAAATATTTTATTAGATATATATTTCCGTATTCATATTTTAATTTTTTAGTTATGATATTTGAAAATTAATTTTTCTACCACTAAAGTGTGACATTTTTTGGTGCTCCTTTTTTTTGCTATATATATATGTATGTATGTGTGTGTGTGAGAGAGTAATATAAATTATTTGTGTCAAATTTTATTAAAATTAAATTTATTTATAAATTTATTATCAAAAATATTATTTTTATAAATTTTAAAAATATATATTATATTAATTTTGATGTATATGAATAATGTATTAAATAATTTTAAATTGATTTCAAATTATAATATAATTTATATAATTAAACTTTTAATCTAATTAATATATACATGTACTTCCTACTTAATCTAACTCGTTGACCAATTGACCCGTCAGCTAACATTGAACAGAAAGAAAATACATGAAGTTGTTAAATGCCCGGACAAGAGGGTACTTTGTATGCCTACTCACATTCTCCAAAGAGGGGTGCAGTATATTAAGATCCCTAGACAGAGTGAGAGGCATATTGTAACCATAGCATAGGCATATGCTCTCCAAGTATACACGCTTTCTCTCATTGCATTGAACTCAGCAGCAAAAGTAGAGACAGTACTCAGACAGCCCAACAGACCAAACTGAATTCCTGTTACTATAGTATCACAATTTGTGGTATTCACCTGTATTAAACACCAGCAATATAATACTCATCACAGTCTCCAAATTTAGTATGCACATTCTCTAAATCTTGTAGGGACAAAATTCCGAATTTTAAAAAATATAAAATATGAGTAGCAAAATTGTTAGGAAAAAAATTCTGAGGAGGGTAAGAACAAAATACAGCCACAAAGTTTTGGAAAATCAAAATATTAGTTGTATAATAGGACATACTAAAAAGCACTTACAGATTTCTTTACTGTGGCAAGTGCAGCCATGACGCAAGCAGCAGAAACATTGGCAATTAGAGTCCCAAATGGAAGCCATTTCAGCCACCCTGCTCCTATTCCACCCCCGTTGAGTCGAGCTAAGAACCACCTAATCCACACACCTAGAGGTCCAACAATGCAAGCAAACCACAACTGAGCTGCATTACCACCATGCTTGAACTCATCCCTTTCCAATACACTAGCTCCACCCCATAATAAACCCAACATCGCCAGGAACACTACGGTAACTACTAGATGACGTATGAAGCTGTCAACCTTCCAATTGACCTTGGAGATACAATTGCCACTTCCAGTTCCAGGTCTCGTGTTTAGCCAGTTGAGAAACCACTTGAAACCCTTAGCTGTCTCTACTCCAAAGATGATTGAAAAAGCGACAAGAAACAATCCTACAAAATTTCATTTGTTTACGAACTGTTCTTATTAACTAGGAGGTGCTGAGATAAAATTGACACTCAAATTACTAAGAACAAAAATCCAAAACGTGAAAATAAAAATGGGTAAGTTGCCCTTGTCAAAAGGTGCCATAGACCTATTAAAATGCCGAGCACAGACAAGAGCCAGTGTCCAGCAATACCGAGTTCAAGCATTTTCTGATTCCAACCACTGAAAGTTGTTAGGCTCCCTAAGTAGCCAGTTGTTAGTCCAATGGCTAAATGCTCAGACACGCGGGATATATCTGCTTTAAACACAACACCGAACCACCCCATCAAAAAGGAACCAACCTGCAACATCATGTGTACAAAATTTGAATGAGCAAAGTGTCAAAACTAGCTTCCTAATCAATTAACTTCAACAATTGCTTGTAACGATAATTTTAAAGCTTCTACGTTGGTCGTAAGAAAGCAGTAATTAGATCAAATTATTGAATCAAGATACATCATATTAACAAAATAATGTGTCTTGATTCAACAATTATAAATGATCCTAACTGGGCCTGCATCAGCAAGTCATCACCTATGAATGCTTCATGCTTAAACAAAGAGTTCCATTTTAATTTTAGGGATCAATTATGTTGAAGGATTTAATACCCAGTGTTTCTAACACTTATGATTCAAATATATTGTCTTCATTCTCCAACAATGTTAAAGCAGCAATGCCAATAAAGACTAAAATTGTTTTTTAACCAACTAATGATTCATTGATTCTACAGTTCACTTTTCGATCCTTACTAGTTCAATTATTCGTTAGATATAGTCAATTAGTCGTCATGAAAATCATATTTTGAAAATTACTTGCATACGATCCACATTATTACTATCATGGTTATTTTTCTTTTTTTCTTCTCCTTTTGCACAACCTGATCAAGTTTTGGTTTTTTAATTCATGTTTCCTTCGTTAAACTTGCGTCATATAATCTGTGCATGCAAAAGAGGAAGAAGAGGCAGACCATATTAGAAGGCAAATCAGGGTAAAGAATACTCTGATTACTAGTCACATCACCAACGCCTGGACCAAATAACTTTTCCAGCAAGTATCTTGTTAAAACCTGCATATTTATTATGGCAATTGATGCATTAGTATCATGATAATAACTGCATCTTCCATTATGAATTGACAAAAAAGTTTATGTTAAAAATTTAGTAGAATGGCACATGGATTGTACTTCAAGTGCTCAAACGATTTATATTACCATCCCTCGAGAACATAACTTGTAGCAAGATTCAATTTGTTCTGCTTCAAATTATGATAAAGAGAAAAACAGACAGAATTGGGTCTATTAGCATAAGAAAACGGAGCAGCCTTAATAGGATGCTTAAGGATATATGTCAAAATGCTTTGCAAAGACTTGGTTCAAGTAAATAATTTAAATAACAATATATCTTATTGTGGTCTCAAGAGTAAGCATGAATATGCCAGTTGCCATACCGTAACATTATTTATCAAACTCATTAGATGGGCTTAAGCGGTATGAATCAACAATGCAATTGGATAATATGAAAAACCAAATTATCAGTAAAACTATTCAGAGGAATGAATGTCCTTTTAAAGTTCCTCCTAATTTATTAAGATATTTTTCCAGCATCTAACAATTAAAAAAAGGCAAAAAAAAAAAAATGGTGACAGAAAATGGAAAAATCAAGGTTATTGGCGCATTACTCCAAGAACGCCAAAAACAGCTAATTGAGTTAGACACGAAACATAGTCCAGTAGCTTGGGTAACTTCATGTCAAGTTCCTGCAACAAGAGGAAAAAAAAAACTTGGTGATTAAACCATGAACAAACTTTTAAAAAATTAACTAATTAAGCTTAAATGCATCATTAAGAAACAGAAACAGTTAATACCAAACTACAAATTGGTAGATGAACCCACTTGTTTTTTGTCTTGATAAAGAACTTCTCCACTAATAGAAACAGGGGTAGGGAACTGTTCCAATGGAGTTACGGAATACACATAATTCAATGAAGCAAGATTTTGCTGCAAATGCAATTCATGGTCCCCTGGAATGCAAACAACTCCACTTTCTTGTGTGCTATCCAAAGATAACCGTAGGCTACTACTTTCACTGTGCCTTGGACCATGAAGAGCTCGATCCCCAATATCTCCAGCCTCTGAAACACGCTCACTCTCAGCATCATCATCATCTACCTTTTGACTCACTGAAAGTGAAACCCTACTAACCGCAGAACCCCAACTACTCATCCGTTCCATGAACCAAAGCCAGAAATCTATTTCCTTCTCAAATGCTGTTAAAAAAACGAAGTAAAATATGAGTGATAAATTCAAATAAATATCATTTACTTATCAAATTATATAATTAATAATAGTGAACAAATTTGCCTGCAATGCTACAAGAAATGTTAATATTCGTCTATATGTACACTCACTCACAGAATGTTGATACCAAGACAAGATTTATCAAATGTGGTGTAAATTAAAAAGCCCAAATGAAATTCAAAAGCTAGCTATCGTTTCACATCGAAAGAAAAAGGTTAGGCCATAGTACATGATAACTACTATTGCACCCAAATAATTTGTGGCTGCTTTGAAATGAAAGTAGAAGCAAGATTCACAAGTTGCTATGAATAGTTTTTGCTTTTATCTTTTACATGAATAGAATGTCTACTTTAAAAATTAAAACCAAAAAAAGAAATAATGAAAGATCGACAGGACCATGGCGAGTTGCAATGCATGCACTTAAGCCACGAGAGGTTTCTGTGGTATTCCTTCAAGAATTAATCGGTACAAAGTATTCCAAGTTTGCATTATTATTAAATAGATATATTTTTAAATTTCATCTTAAATAAAAATAATTTTAATTGAGAAACGGATTTTTTTATTATAACATTTTTTTATTAAACATTTAATTTTAACTTTAAAAAATTCAATCTCTTTAATCTAAATATTCAACAGCTAAATCTAAATGAACTAAACACTAATAGACAAAAAAGAGATCAACACGAAGTTTCAATGTTAAATGTTAATAGAAAGAGAAAATAAATAAAAAATTGTAAGAAAGATACTTTCAATGTAAAAAAAGATAACTTTGTTAATAAGAAGAAGAATAGATTCAAGATGCTTTATGAATTAAGTTTTTTAAAATTTTAATGCGTAAGAGTTGGTACATGACTATTCTAAGAGTATTTTTTGAAAATAGATAACAATTACATCAAAAGCAGTTACATGTTAATTTTTATTAAGTGGTTATATTAGTTTGCTTTATAAATATCCATTTCAAAAAAATATATAGAATGGAGTAGTGATTTTTTTTACAATTACATGTAAAATTTTCGATCTTATTTGAAATTGTGAAATAAAAAATTGCTCGTATTTGAGGCAAATTTTGAAGGTTTATAAAGTCCATTACATGTTATAAATACGCCCTTTTCTTCCATTCCAACGACTTGACAGAGAAAGAGGGGTTGGCACAGCCCGCAGGTGGCACAACCCCCCAAATTTCAAGACTGCCAGAGAATTATTTTTAAATATTTTAAAAAATTATTCATACAATGCATCTAACTTCTTCCAAAAGAAAAATTGTAACCCAACTTGAATTTCTGCCTCCGTCGTTGACTCGTTCATTAAAAAAGACTTTAATAACTGTATACGTTTATTATTATTATTATTATTTTACAAAATCTTTTTATTTAGTTCATATGACATTTATTTTGATTTTAGAACTAATTGTTTATTAATGGATACGACATAGGATTAATAATTTCATACCCATATCCAGCGATTCGATTTCGATATTTTAAAAAAAATTATAATATAACTATTCATTGTTCTCTTTCTCTAGGAATGAATGTTGTTTGCTCCTATTTCCATTGAGGCAATACATAAAACTTTTTCTCCCTAGATATATCTAAAAATACGTTAAAAATTATATAAATGTAAATATAATATAAAAATATAACTAATATTTTAATGTGGAACTTTCCGTGCACTTAATAATATTTTCCGAATCTGCCGGCTACGTCAGGATTTCAAATCAAACTATAAAAAAGAAAAGCATTAAAAACTTCACATTTGTATTCTCTTTCACCGATACATCTAAAATATAAAGCAAAATATGGCGCTTTTGTGGACAAATGAATCTCAAATCAAGCTTTACCATCGTTTTTTATACCTCATTGTGCTGGCAGATGTCCCACACAAATGTATCTATCTATCTTTTGTATCTTCTATATTTATATTTTTTTTATAGATAAAATATATATTATATTATTAAAAAGAATTCAAGAAAAACTCAAATACATTAAAAAAAATAAAAATAAAAATTAACAACTACACAGAAATATAAAAAAATAGATACAATTTCATGAGTTCAGATACTAATTAACTAACAAATCAACTTCTTTATTACTAATAAGTGATAGTTACTTCTAATATCTCAAAAGAATAGAGTCTAATATTTCTTTCTCATCCAAAATACCATAAAAAAATATCATTATATTTTCATGTAACCACAAAAACTACAGTGTAGTTATCCAGACAATTAATAAATATATCTTTTCTCTTTTACTGCAACCAACATCAACATAAACAAGTGAGTGAGTTGATAAATCTGAAAGCAAAACTAGCGAGAATTCAAGCCAACGCGTAGTAAAGTACTAGATTCGAAATAAAACTGAGCACATTAAAAATAAATGACTTGAAAATTCTTCCAAGCCATGACAAAAGTAATAAGTTATATCATCAATTTAAACTACTGTAAATGATAATTAATAAAAAATATTAAAATTTATTATAAATAAAATAATTTCAAAATCTTCTATGTCAAATGTTAAAAATAGAAAAAAATAATATTGATTAAGTTATACAAAAATATTTAAGAAAATTTGATGAAGTTCTCAAGTTATCTTTTAATTAAAAATAAAAATGTATCTTTGTTTTAATTTATATTTAACATTTGAATGTTAACTATTGTTTTATATTATATATTATTAAATTAATTTTTTAATAAAAAGACAAGTAATCTATGATATAGATAAAAAAATAATTTTTATTATATTAATTTTTTATTTTTTTAACTTTTTCATATATATTTAAGTAAGACTTCATCTCTACTTATATAAGTTATGTTTACACTGTCTTTGAAAACTTGTTCATCATTCTTTCTATTGTCATTCTTTTTCTTTATATTTTGCAATTATGTTAATTGTCAAGAATTACTTATCCACGTAAATACATGTATTTTTGAATTTCATATTTTTTATTTTGTTTCACTAAATTGTGTTATATATTTTAATTTAATTTTTTGAGTAAGCATAAAGCTGTATTATTTTTAAATGATATCATATATTGAATTTTATTTTTAAATGATTAATTTGTATCAAATTTATCATTATTTTCTTATATTCATCACAAGTAATTATTTATTTTTATGTTTTTCATGTTTTTGTAGGAGAATAAGTTTCAATGAAGATAAATGTACTTTTCTTAATAATCTGAATTAAAAAACAAATAATTAAAAAATAAAAGTGCAAATATCACGACTGTGAAATATATTAAATATATATTGTAAGAAAGAGTTAATTAGTACTGATATGATACTAATTGATAAAAAGATAATAGATTTGTATTTTCCTTATTAAAAATTTATTATTTTTAATAAAACTATAATTATGTTATCTTTCATATATTATTCTATGATAACTAACTAACTTAATTTATTTTTAAATTTTCTTTTTTATAGAACAGTTACATACATGCTTCCATAGGACGGAGAATTTCTTACAACTTCAAAGGTGTATTAAAAGAAAGAAAAATATACTTAATAACAAATTTTTAAGTGACAAAGAATATAAATAGAATTGTTGTGGTTGAAAATAATCCTTTCATATTGCAATTCTATACCACAACTATTATTAAAAAATTAAATGATGATAACATAATTTCTTATCATATCTTTGAGTTTGTGAACTTTGAAGATTTGAAAAATTGTTGTGAAAATAATGTCTTAACAGGTATTTTGCTGTAAAACTTTACTAAAATTTGTTATATAAATTGTATTTAATTTATCAATTAGTTTTCTAAAATTATTTATTTTATGAATAGATGTGATTAGAGTGGCCATACATATAAGTTCAATTGAAGAAAAAATAGCACAAGGCAAAGTTAATGCCATGATACTTCAATTACAAGACATGAGGTATAAACAATTATTTTAAAGTTATTATTAATTGACAAATATTATAATTTTGGTTAAATTATTTGCAGCGAAAATAGAGTGAAAGTAACATTGTAGGATGATTATATTGTACTATTTGAAGAAATAATAAAAGATAATATATCTAAGGATTCAAAAATCTGTGTTGCAATATTCACATCGTAGGTAATTGTATTATTATATTTTTAAAATAATTTATTTAAGTAAATTATATATATATATATATATATATATGTATATATGCTTCGTTATATACATTCAGGTATTGAATCTATTTCCACATCAAGATCAACAAAGATATATGTTAATGTTGACATATCAGAAGTTACTCATTTTATAAATTCAATCATGTATTGAAATTATTTAAAATCTTTTTATTACGTTAATTATTGTTGATTTTTTATTTTTTATCTTAACCACATTTTTAATTATTTATTATCACTTTGTTGCAGGAATTTTAATGATATGCATGTTACTCACAATGTTGATGGTACACGATTTACAATGCTTTTTAAGTTAGAAAATTTTAAAAACATGTCTGAAATTTTGACAATGGCAAAATCAAATAATGATATGGCAAATTTAATTTCTCTTATACTTTGTTCTTCTTATTTAATTTTTAAACTAATTTTTTAATTAATTTTTAGAATACCGTAATTAGTTGTATTACAACTATGAATGATATATTACTTAAAAATAATTGGTATTATATTTCTTACCCCCACTGCAAGAAGAAAATTTCTTTTCATAGCTACAAATTTTAAATGTGAATTATGTTATAAAGATGTTGAGTATCCAATGATAAGGTAATTAATTTATCGATATAGTTATAACACTATGTATCCTAATTTTAAAATTTTTATATGAAAATAAATTAAATTATGTATTATTACCTTAATTTATATATATTATAGGTTTCGTTTTGAATTTGATGTTAAAGATTGTACAAATTTAATTATATTTGTCTTATTTGATAAAGTTATTAAACAATTGGCACAAATAAAATTACAAAACCTTATTACAACATCTGAAATTATAAGTAAATGTATTAAGTTCAAACTTATTAAAAATTCCAATCAAATGATTTATCATATAAATAAAATATATTAAAATAAATAACTATTTTTATGTGATAACTTTTTAAGGGTGATGGTGAAGGATTAAAGTTACTTCAACAACTTTTAAAGAATATGTCAAAGAAAAAAATTAATTAAATTATAAATTGAAAAATTAAATGTTTAAGGTGGAAAAAAAATTCACATAAAGCATAGTTAAAAAAGAAAACAAAATCATAAGTTGTTTTTATTCACTTCTAAGTAATTTTAAAAAAGCTACTCTTAAACATGAATATTTTTAAAAACAATTTCTGTAAGTAATACAAATTTTAAAAATTATATTTTATTATTATAGTATATAAAAATTAATTTTTATATTTTATAAATAAATATACTTTAAAGTTTTTAGCAAGAAATAATTCATCAATGCTAATATCACCGTTGATGACTTGATTTATTAAACAAACAAAAAAATTTTAACTTAAACTTTTAAACAAATTTAGATTTATTAAATTTACTTTTGGTTGTTTTAGTTTAACATCATCAATCTCTTTATTTTAACTATTTATGTTTAATTTCTTTAATTTTTTAAATATTGAAATTACATTTATCTCAAAGTTAAGATTTTAATTAGATTTTATGTATTTTTCCTTTACTTATTTAATTAATAAAATATCATACCTCTAATATATTTTTATTAATTATTAGATAAAATTGTAAATTATAAAATTTAATTTAAAAATTTTGAAAAATTGAAAAGACTAAATATTAATAATTAATATTAAAATATTAAATTTAAACACACGTTAAAATATAGAGACTGAAAATATAATTAAGTTAAAAATTTATTTTTAAAATTTCAAGTATTAATTTTATATACATTAATAATGAACTTAAAAAATAAAATATATCTGTAATAATTTATATTATTAATAAATTATTAATAATTTGTACAAAAATTAAAAATGATTGATGTTTTAACTTTTATTAAAAATTATTACTTAAATATTTTAATATATCACTTACTAATTATCTTTTATTAAAAAAATATTAATTATTAAAAAATAAAAAAATAAACAAAACAAAATAAATTATCATATTTTTATAATAAGTTTGTACAACAAATTCTTTTATTCTTTTTTGTTATATCACTACTTTCTCGTAATTTTTCTTATCTTTACACGTTGTAACAAAATTTATACAAATTTATTAAAAAATTATAAGACGTTTAAAGAGAATTAATGCATGAAGCCATGTTCAAGTTGCTAAAACGTGCTTTGAAAAAGGCATATTCTATTTTTAACATTTATCTGATTAGTACAAACATTTCTCAAATCTGTAGAACGTTCCACACTCAATATCTAGTAGATTAGCGTGATTAACAAGAACATCGCTCAAATCTCCATAAAATAAGAAGTTCACGTTGATCCTCCATTATTTGTTTTGTATCAGTAGTTAACGTTCTATACTTAACATCTTGCAAATGAGCGTGATTAATAAGAACACTGCTCAAATCCCCATAAAACAAGAAGTTCACGTTAATCCTCCATTGTTTGTTCTGTATCGTTGGTTAAGGTTTGATACTTGACATCTTGCGTATTAGGGTGATTAATAAGAACATTGCAAGTCACCATAAAATAAGAAGTTGACAGTTAACCTCGATGTTTTGTTTTGCATCGATGGTGAAGGTTAGAGTTCCATATTTAACATCCTGTAAATTGGCGTGATTAATGAGAACATTGCTCAAATTCCATAAAACAAGAAGTTCACAATAATCCTCCATTGTTTATTTTGTTTAAGTGATTAACGTGGTAAACTGCATAATAAGTAGTAATGGAAAAAGGTAGTGACACATACGTACAAATAAAAACCCAGCATAACAAACACCGCAGTAGGAAAGGTGTGTCTTATTCTGAAATCTAGGGCCTTTTGTCTGAGTCAATTGTGAATCATGTGCATGAAATAATCAAAATTCCAAAATCCAACATCAAATTCACGATACAAATGCGCAGTTCAATTCTGTTTGGTAGCATGTGACAGTTAGATACGCGGTTGTCATCTTTTCGTTTCTCACTTTCTTCCTAATCCTATATATAGAGCTGTGCAATAGACATCAATCATAATTCAGAATTTATAATTCATACACCTACACACACCATGCCTTCCAACACCATGAACTCCAATGACAACCAAGGCCTCAGCATCAACCACCCTGGCAGGCTCCCTGACTTCCTACGTAACCTAAATATGACATATATAAAACTTGGATACCGTTATTTGATCTCCCACCTTTTCACTCTGTGCTTGATTCCTCTCAATGCTTTCATCATCTTTCAAGCCTCCAACATGACTCTAGAAGAGATTCACCAGCTTTGGCTCAACTTGCAGTACAACTTGTTGGACAACTGTGTCAGCGTTGTCCTTTGTTGCACTTTCATTGTGTTTGTAATCACTGTTTACATGGTGAAGAAGCCAAGATCTATCTACTTGGTGGACTTTGCATGTTACAAACCCCTTGCTTGTCTCAAAGTAAACTATGACAAGTTTATGTATCACAGCGTTCTAAATGGGAATTTCAATGATTCTTCACTTGAGTTTCAAAGGAAGATTCTTGAGCGCTCTGGCCTTGGAGAAGAAACTTATGTCCCTCAAGCAATGCACAACATCCCACCAATGCCAACCATGTCTGCTGCAAGAGATGAGGCTGAGCAAGTCATGTTTGGTGCTCTAGATGTACTTTTTTCCAACACCAAGGTCAATCCAAAGGACATTGGGATCCTTGTTGTGAATTGCAGCTTGTTCAATCCCACCCCTTCCCTAGCTTCCATGATTATCAACAAGTACAAGATGAGGTGCAATGTCAGGAGCTATAATTTAGGGGGCATGGGTTGCAGTGCGGGTATTATAGCTATTGATCTTGCTAAACACTTGCTTCAGATTCATGGGAACAATTATGCTGTGGTGGTTAGCACTGAGAATATCACTCAGAACTGGTACTTTGGGAATAAGAAATCCATGCTGATACCAAATTGTCTATTTCGCATGGGTGGGGCAGCGATTCTACTTTCTAACAAGAATTGTGATAGGCTTCAAGCTAAGTATGAGCTTCTTCATATTGTGAGGACTCATATAGGTGCAGATGAGGAGGCATTCAAGTGTGTCTATCAAGAGCAAGATGATGCAGGAAAAGTTGGTGTGTCTTTGTCAAAGGATCTCACGGTTATTGCTGGTGGAGCCCTCAGAACTAACCTTACAACCTTGGGTCCCCTTGTGCTACCCATAAGGGAGCAGCTTCTCTACTTTTATAATTTGGTGATCAAGAAGATATTTGGTTCAACTAAGAAGCCTTACATCCCAAATTTCAAGCTTACTTTTGATCATTTTTGCATTCATGCTGGTGGTAGGGCAGTGATTGATGAGCTTGAGAAGAATTTGCAGCTTCAAAGTGAGCATGTTGAGGCATCTAGAATGACTCTGCACAGGTTTGGGAACATTTCCTCCAGCTCTATTTGGTATGAGTTAGCTTACATGGAAGCAAAGAGCAGGATGAAGAAGGGAAACCGAGTCTGGCAGATTGCATTTGGCAGTGGGTTCAAGTGTAACAGCGCAGTCTGGAAGGCCCTGACCAATGTGGAGCCATCACCAAATAATCCTTGGAATGATTGCATTGATAGGTACCCTGTTGACGTTGCTCCATAGTTCTATTCTGGGCTATTATGAGTTAAAAGAATAAGAGAATAAGAATGTCTCATTTAGTCAGATATTTATCTTTGTTTATTGGCCAATTTATTGGCATATAGATGTTTTCTATTTGTTACTAAGAAGTTAGAGTTTGATACTTGTATTGAGTCACTTATTGGTATTAAGAGCTTTAGTTAGAATTAGATTGAAACTGTTCATCGTATACTATTCACGTAGTGTTCATTAAAAAAAAAATATTACAAAAAAAAGAGAAAAAAATTGTAACATACAAAAGTGAGTTTTTAATATATTTCTTTCAATCTTTAGTTTGTTTTTGCTTGATTTTATACCAAAATAAAAAATTGGTTGTTATTTAATATTACATAATCTTTGTTAAACTCTCTATTTTTGTCTTATTTGCATTCTATCTTTGAGTGTGTTTATTTCTTGTTTAGTCCTTTTTTTTTTCTATTGTCTTGTTAGCTTCCTTAGTTTTGTCATAGAGTTTTCTTTTATTGGCTTCACTTGTTTCTCATTGATTGATCGTCTCTTGATTTTGGTTAATTTTATGGATTGAAAGTTGACTTCCTTAAGAACTTTTGAAAATACTTGAGGGGAAAAAAGTAAGAGAAAAAGTCTTACATAAGAGTCAATTTAGAGTGAAATACGAGTGAACATCTACTAAGTGGCAACACTTAGCGAGTTAAGAAAACTTTTTTTTTTCTTTTGTATTAATTTTTATTATTTTGTAGAATGTTTCAAGAAGAAGGATCAAGTAGGAAAAACACTCCTTCCTCACAAATTGAAAGACTTGCATAAAGATTTGAAAGAATGTTTGAGAAGTAAAATGAAATAATAAGAAATATTTAAGAGAAGTTAGCAAATAATACAAAAAGGAGGTCACGTGATCGTTCTCTACATGCTATGGAGATTCTAGTAATTCTTCATAAGAAAGAAGATGAAATAGGAGAGATAGAGGAGGTATGATAAGGAGAGATAATAGAGAGAAGAGGAATGAAAAGAGGAGAATAGAAGAAGATGTAAGAGTAAGAGAAAATGAAAAAATTGGTGAAATTAAAATAAAAATTTCTAGTTTTCATAGAAAGAATGATGTTGAAGCATACTTAAAGTGAGAATTGAAGATAGATCAAATATTCTCGTGCCATGATTATAGTGAAAAAAAGAAAGTAAATGTGGCTTCCTTAAAGTTTTATGACTACGCTTTGGTGTGATGGGATCAAATTTAAAGGGAGCGAAAAAGGTATGACGAGGAATCTGTAGATACATGAATTGAAATGAAGAACCTAATGCGTAGGAGATTTGTTCCTAAATACTACAATAGAGGGTTTCATACAAAGCTTTAAGGTTTGAGACAAGGTAAAAAAAGTGTTGATGACTATTATAAAGAAATGAAAGTTGCTATGATAAGAGCTAATGTATTTGAAGAAAGAAAATGAGATATAAAACTTAAATGGGTTGAACCATAACATGCGTGATATAGTGAAACTTTATTCCTATGTAAAACTTAAAACTTTGGTTCACCAGGCTATTAAAGTAGAAGCACAATTGAAGGGAAAGAGGACTTTGAGGAAGAGTATCTCTCTTCTTATAACTCAAAAGAATGGAAGGAAAAAGTAAAGAATGAAGAAACATCAATTAAGGACACAATTGTCCAAAGTGGTAAGCTTTCCTCTAAAACTTTTTTTAATTTTACTAATACTTCTATTTCTCCTACTTCTCAACATGTAACAATCAAATGTTTTGAATGCCTTGGAAAGGGTCATATTACATCCCAATGTCCAAAAAAAAACTATGATTTTGAAGGAGAATGGTCAAATTTCAAGTGCAAGTTCATCTTAATCATCACATGCTTCAAGTGAAGAAGATAGTGAGTTTGAAACTTTGTGCCATGAAGGAGATTTGCTTATGGTAAGACGTCTCTTGGATAATATAGCTAAAAAAGATGACACTACACAAAGAAAAAGTATTTTTCATTTGAGATGTTTGGTATGTGAAAAGGTTTGTTCTCTTATTATTGATGGTGGTGGTTGTACTAATGTGGCTAGTATTAGACTTGTTAAAAATTGAATCTTACTATTACTCCTTCTCCTCACCCTAAGTCCTATAAGTTACAATGGTTAAATGATGAAGGAAAGTTGGTTGTTAATAGACAGATTTTGATTACTTTTTCTATTGACAAGTATAAGGATGAAGTTTTATGTTATGTAGTGCCTATGGAAGCGAGTCATATTCTCTTAGGAAGACTTTGATAGTTTGACAAGAAAGCTATTCATGATGGTCATTCCAATAAGTTCACATTAGTACATAAAGAATGCATAATTACTTTAGTGCCCATGACTCCTAGTCAAGTGTGTGAGGATCAAATAGTCATGAGGTTGAGAAGAAAGCAAAAGAAAAAAGATGAGAATGACAAGAAAAGTGAAGAGAAAAAAGAGAGGACACTTCCAAATAAAAAATATGAGAGTGAAAAGAAAAGTGAAGAGAAAAATCAATATGAAAAGAGAGAAAATTTATTTGTGAAATAAAAAAAAAGTGAGAAAAGCATTGTTGGTCTCTCAACCTATGTGTCTACGTTTGTATAAAGAAAGTCTTCATAATGAATTTAGTGATTCATTTGCTAACAATATTTTGCCTCCTAGTGTTTTATCTCTTTTGTCGGATTTTCAGATGTCGTCCCTAAAGAAGTATCTCACAACTTACCTCCACTTAGAAGAATAGAACATCAAATTGAAAAGAAAGTGGAGCAACAAACAAAGTATGTCAACAAGGGAAGGAGGAAAGTAGTGTTTGAACCTGTGGATTGGATTTGGGTATATATGTGTAAAAAAAAAGGTTTCTTGTGTAAAGGAAGCCAAAACATCAAACAAGAAGGGATGAATTATTTTAAGTCTTAAAGAGGATTAGGAATAATGCATACAAAGTGAATTTATCAGGTGAGTATGGTGTTAGTGTTACTTTTAATGTATTTCATCTATCTCTCTTTGATGTAGGTAATAAAGAGTCAAATTTGAGGATAAATTCTTTCTAAGAAGAAGGGATTGATGAGAATCAAAGAAGACCCGTTGAAGACAAAGGCTCAAATGCATTGGAAGGGTTGCAAGGACCAATGACAAGAGTAAAGGCAAAGAGAATAAATGGAGACTTAGAAAAGATGATTGCTATTTTATTTGAAAGAGAGCTTAATTTAGACTTAGAAAAGCTCAAGATGGTTAATAACATATGTTTAGAGAATTTGGATTCTAATAAATTTCATTATTATGTTTAGTTTATTTATTTTAATATTAGTCATTACTTATTTTGAATTTTTATTTAGGATAAAATCTTGTTATTTCATTTAGTTTATTTGAATTTAGACTTGTTAGTATAAGAAGCCCATTAGAATTATTGTTAGTATTGGTTTACAAGCATTAGACATATACAAGTTCTAGTAAACACACTTTTAATTAGTTTTGAATACTCTTGTGAGAGCGTGTGACTCTAGATTTTGAGTGAGCCAATTTTTTTTGATCTTATCAAGAGGCCAAGACTCTTGTGACGATTTTTTCTTGGATTATCAATCTTATTATTGTGGCGCCATTTACATATGTATTTTATTTTTATTTTTTTGTTAATTTTCTCCTTGTTCCTATTTGTGCCCTAATAATTTTATTTTTATCATGTGAAATCTAATTTAAAATCATTTAATTCGGCAACACAGATTGTGATTGTCATGATTAGTATAGTTTAACAATTTAATAACATAAACGAGTTGATGGAAGTGAAAAGTGTATATATAATACAAAAATAAAAAAAGTCTCACTAGTCCTAGCCTCCTAAGAGTATACTCGGGAAAAAAAAATTTATATGTGATTTAAAATATATATATACACTTTTCGTCCCTTAACTTTAAAGTAAAATTCACTTTTGTCCTCTAACTTTTTATTTGTTCATTTTAGTGTTCCAACTCTTACAAAAGTTTCAAATAGGTCCTTCTCCATTAAAAACTGTAACTCTGTTAGAAAAATTTATCATCTTGTGCCACGTAAGTTGTGTCACTGTTCATCATCTTCCTCCTCATATCTCTGACGTTGTTTTCAACACATCTTCCTCTTATTTCTCTCTTTCATCTTCTTATTCTCAAAACTTTATTTTCTTGCCATCAACAACACCAAGCACCTACCTCCAATCTGATGAATTTAAAATCAACTTCTGCATTCCACATTGGCTCTCATATTTTCTCTAAAATTAACTTCTTGCCATTAACAACACTAATGCATCGCTCCTTGAACTTATTCATATAGAAGAAACACGTTTCGTACTCACCTAGAATGGTAGCTGTTGATATCTTTTGGTAACTCACGTAAGCATTTTTGAAGAGTCATTTCCCCAAATACTGCAATCTCAAAGAAGAAAGTGCAAGATTTCGTGTTTCCTAGCGCCAATGGCCTTAAAAACAAACACAGAGTGAAGAGACACGATGACTCTCTCACTCTCACTATAAATCATAGGATGTTTCATGTTCATGATATGACAAACATATTGGTGGAGATAGAAAATGAGTATTTAGAAAGTTAATTTGTTTATGATTTGAGATTTGGGGATGAGTGCTTGGTATTAGTGGCAAGAAGATGGAATTTTGAGTATAAAAAGATAAAAATGAAAGGAAGAAAAAAGAAGAAAAGCTGCTAGAAAATAAATCGCAGATATGAAGAAGAAGACAATGAACAATAACACAACACAAAATGATAAAACTTTATAATGGAGTTAGAGTCTTTAACAAAAAATGACTTGTTTGAAACTTTTTTAAAAATTAGAGGACTAAACTAATCTAAAAAAAATTAGAGGACGAAAGTAAATTTTATTCTAAAAATAAGGAAAAAAAAAGAATAATTTTACCTCTATATATATATATATATACATATGAAGTTATAAAGTACAAAAATCTAAGAGTATATTTAATTTATTTTTTTCCTTAAACAGTTGTTAGTTTGTAAGAATAAATTGTAATATAAATTTGTACTACAATTTATTTTTAAAAAATGAAAACTATTTTTAAAAGATAAATTAAACATGCTCTTAATTTTTAATAACTATTTTTATTTTTTAAAATATCAATTAATATTTTTTTTATTTTTCTTTAATAATCATTTTAACTTTGTTCTATAGACAAAATTATAGAACTAAATACTCATTATCATGTTTCTTTATTTTCCTTTTTGCCATAAATATAAGAATAAGGAATTTCATTTGATTAAATATAATTTTTCTCCTTTTATTAAAAAAATGATGATAAAACTTGTAAAATTAATTTTGAGTATGTAAAATTGATAAATGTTATTAAAAAAATTTAGTATAAAAAAATAATTTTTTTTAATTTAAATACTTTTTTATTTGATTTAAACTTTTTATTTAACTTAATAAATTATAATCCATTAAATATAAGTTAAATAAAAAATTTAAATTAAATATAAAAGTTTTAAAATTTATACTAGTATTTAAAGATCTTTTCTCTTATTATAATTTTATATTTTAATTTAATAAATATTATTTATAAATACTTAAAGTCAATTATAAATTTTGATGTTAACAAATTTGATTTTTTTTACTAATAAAATCCGTGATAAAAATATGCAATTTATATAGAGGAACATGTGTAGGTCGAGGGGCAGCCAATGGGTTTCGATTCCTCGATCTTTAAGAACACAGACCAATCAATAGACAATGGAATCTGTTCGATTTGTTCTAATCTTTCAGTCGCTTGCCAGCCGCAGCTCGTCTCTCAAAGATTTTATTTCTGCGAGGTTCTTTTTTCTACTCCAAGTCTCCTCCAATGCTTTCATCTGCTTATTTTATTCTCCTCCGTACCTACAGATGTCTTGAGTGGACCAGAACCTCCTCTATATGAACATCATTTTATAATAAATTAATATAACTCTAAACGTCTCAAAGTAAGTTCACCTCTATCAAGAAGTTTACAAAATGTTGTGAAAATGTTAATAAAAAGTAAAAAAATTATCAAAATTTGAAAAAAAAAATATATAATTTCTTTTACACTTTGTAATTCTATTATATTTTTTTTATAGTACCAAACACGTTTAATTGGAAGAAAAAAATTAGAAAAGATAATTTAAAAAAAAGCTTTAAAAAGGCATCAGAATAAAAGCTATAATAAGAGAAGCAATAAAAAAAAGTGTACGCATACCCGTTAGCCGTAAGGAGGAATGTGAAAATATTGGAATGAAAGCCAAGCCACAGGATATTAACTGAGCTAGAAGCAGGAAAAGATGACGAATGCGCTGTGATGTTGAATTTGCAGAACATAAAGAGATCGAAAAGCAATAGCATGGATTCATATGGCGATTGCAACTGAGGAAGGTGCAACTACCAACTTTGCATTGCCCCAGTCCCTGGGAGGAGCTCATTTTATAGGAGATATTAATTAAAATTGTTTAAATATTTTAATTATATAATAATATATTATTAAACATATGAGGTTGATAGGTTAATAACAATAATTAATTTTATCAAATTACTTTATCTGAGAGCTAGTCTGCAAAGAGTCTGTGTAATATATATCTAAAAAATTTTACACTTAATTTTTATTTTTATTTAATTTATATATAACAGTTATATATATACACACTAAAAGTATATCTTAAATATTTTAAAAAATTATTAAAAATGTCTACTTTAAATGTAAAAAAGCATCACTTTTGTATTACAATACATATAAATTGTTATTTTTTAGACATATGTTTTCTACAACTCTAAAGCCATGCAAATATTGAGGGAGGACAAAATACAAAAAGTAAAATAACACACTCATATTGATAAAAGCATATTTGTTTCATTTTATATATAAATTAGACAGTTGAGTTTTATTTTTATTTAAATAAAAATAAAAAATTTTGTTATTAAACTCTTTGCAATCAAAATTATATATATATATATATATGTAGAATTTTCTTACATTAATATAAGTTTAAAAATCCTTACACCTAATTTAAACATTTCATTTAATATCTAACAGGTTATAATTTATTACTTCACTGACCGTTAGATATAAATTAAATAAAAAATTCAGATTAAATGTAAGAATTTTTAAACTTACATCAATTTAAGAAAAATATAATTCATTTAATTTACAAGTTACGAGATATACTACTTTTCATAATAAAGCTCATCATTTCTTTTAAATCAATGCTAACTTGTGCTTGTAACTAGTGTCTTAAATTGACCGGTTAAAAAAATTAAATTAATTTTTTGTTATAAAATATACTAAATATTTGTATTTATAAATTATAATGTAATTCAATATTAATTTTAATAAAAAAAAACTTATCATTTTAATTTCTTAACCAACACTTAAAAATAACTGTTAGCAAGATCCTTCTTTTAATCTTTGTAAGTCAACTCACAAGCAAAACTATGAGGCTTTATTTTAGTTTTTTTAGGATCGCAACGGGTTGCATTTGTTTACGCGATTCATTTAAATTGGGAATTGCAACTAAAGAGACATAAAATGTAAGGTTGAAATGATTATTGTTTTTGTACACTATTATCGTTTTTTAGAAATATATACCAGATTTATTTAGCAATTTTTTGCACGTTACAAAAGTACATCTAAATAAAAATTATAACATGAAATTTATTATATTAAATAAAAAATAAAATCATATCTTTAAAATTTAAAATTAATTTATTATAATTATAATAATCTTAACATTTAATTTACTTAAAAAATATCTTCATTATATAATGTATCGATATCTAAAATTTAAATTAAAAAAATAGAAATAATTTTTAAAAATGAAAGGCATAAGACTTGTGCTTCCGTTTAAAAATAACTAAATAAGGAATTGAAATGGACATGTGACTATAAATAAGAAGCTCTAATTTTTTTTTGTTTTTGTACAAAGCCCTAACCCTAATAATATTTTTAAGGAGATGAAAAAGGAAGTATATTATATAATCGAACCCATCTCATCGTTCCAAACGGACATGTAGCATTGGAGGCCCAGTTTGAACAGAGGAAATTTGTTTTGATACATTCGGGCAAGTATTTGCAATTTCATCCTAAGGAATGGCTGTCCCATGCTCCCTGGGAATCCAATAAGAAAAATACATAAATGTTTTAGGTATTATTAAATTAAAACTTTGATTTTAATTAAAGAAAATATTTAAGTCTTGTGCATTAAAAAAATTAACAATTAGTACTTTTTTTTTCAATTTAATGGTTTAGAATGATTCAAACAAGTCTTAACTCTTAAACATGCCTACACCTTTCGCGATTGGTAGCACAAATTCTAACTTATCCTATGCAACTGTCCAATTCTTGTTCATCGTAACTTGACTCTACAACTTATTAGAAACGTCCCCCAAGACGAATAATGGCCAACCAACTATACTCTTTAATCTAATGGGTTAACGAAAACTTTAGATTCATTGATAACTTATAGATGGTGGTTTAATTTCACCCATCCAAATCAAGTTTTGTTTTTATATTTAGATAGATTAGTTAGATTTCATAGATGGATAAATTAAATAGTTAATGAATAAGGATAAAAATTAGGTATAATATATTTTTATTCTTATTTTTAAATTATAGTTTTTAGTACATAAATTCTAAAATAAATTTTTAGTTTTATTATTAAAAAAGTATAGTTAAGTATTTTCCAGTCTTTTAAAATGCATTAAAATTTGGTTTTAGAATTCGTGAAGTAATTTTTTTTTTAAAATTGTACATTTTTTAAAATTATTTATTTTAATTTTTTTATTGATATGACTCTATAAGAAAAAGTTAATGTATGACTCACTCAAAATTTTACACACAATAGCATCTGAATTAATTGAATAATTATTTAAGAATCGCTAAGATTAAAAATACTCATTTTTAAAATGTAAGAGTTGAAATAAAAATAAAATTGTTTAATTTTTAAAATTTATAAAGAATCATATAACATATTTTTTACTTAAACACAAATTTAATTTAATAATAATTAATAGGACGATAATCTCACTAATAAATAATGAAACTATGTAACTCTATTCAGTTACAACAGTGTAACAAACTTGACTATTTTTAGTTCACATTGTTTTGCCTTAGAATGGCGTTATTAAAATAATAAAAGTATAGGTTAAAAAATGCATAGAAAAGAAGGGAAGATATTGATTACGTGGCAATAATGAATTTGGATAAAGTAGAGAGAGGGGAAGGCGACGGGGTGTCCTAAAAGCGAAAGGGATAACCGAGAGAGCAATTAGGGATTAGGATTGGTCCAGCCAAATGAAAACCAACCATATTTGATACTACCACTACCGATATTAATTTATTATTAATATTAATTTATTTTTCTCTCCACTGACACAAAATCTGTACACATCAGCACCTCAACACCATTCCTTTCTTACATTTCATCGCAACGCCAATGGACGAATCACAATCACAGTGCTCTCTTCTTCACTCCAATTCTACACATTAAGCTTTCCAAATCTCATCGAAGAAGCTTCTAGGTTCTTCCAGGACCTTCTATTCCACTTCCTCCTTTCTTCTTCCGAACCCATGGCCGAGAGTCGAAGATCTACGGGCACAGTCAAGTGGTTCAACGCTCAGAAGGGTTTCGGATTCATAACTCCACAAGATGGCTCCGATGATCTCTTCGTTCACTTCACTTCCATCCGATCTGACGGCTACCGGACCTTATCGGATGCTCAGTCCGTCGAGTTTCTCGTTGATTTCGGCGACGACGGCCGAGCCATGGCTGTCGACGTTACCTCCGCCGTTAGATCTCGCCGTTTTGGCGGTTTTCGAGGCGGCGGAGGCAGGGGAAGAGGAGGAGGACGCTTCGGCGGCGGGGAAGTTAGAGGCGGAGGGATCGGACGGAGAGGAGGAGGTTACGGCGGTGGTGGAGGTCCTGAGTGTTATAATTGTGGAAGAATAGGTCACTTGGCGAGAGATTGTTATCAGGGACAGGGTGGTGGCGATGGTAGGAATCGGAGACGCGGCGGCGGCGGTGGCGGAGGAGGAGGATGTTTTAACTGTGGCGAGGAAGGGCATTTTGCGAGAGAATGTCCGAATGTTGGAAAATGAGTGAGAATTTGATGATTCTGATTTGCACTATTGAATTGTGAGCTTGTTACGACTAGTTGGGGTTGGTTACATGCATTCTGCGCAGAAGAACGTTCGCATTCAAGGACATGAGCCACGAGTACTTTTTTTCTTGTCTTTTATGGTTTTTGTTTCTAGCTATTGGCATTTGGTTCAAAACTTGTTTTGCAGGATTTGCTAATTGTTTGATTAATTGCGGTTCTTATCAAGTGACTATGGTTGTTCGACCTGTTGAATATGAAAGAATGAATGATTAATCAATAATCAATTTCGCAAAATCTTGCATTCGCTTCAAAAACCTTTCCCTCACTGCTCAAATGTGTGTAGCTGTCGTATCTGTATTTGCGTGGCGATGCTGCCACTGCGATGTGGATAAAATACATTGTCTGCGGTCCTTAACTTTTAACAGTATATATGTATTATATTGTGGTCCTTTGAAATAAAAATCTGTTCATTTTGTAATGTAATAAGTGTTAACGGTTAGATGTTGGATATGAATAACTGATGTGGTTTTTTTGTTTTTTTTCAAGATATACTTCTATTAAAGAGGGTTCCAGAATAGCTGTTTGAAAGAAGTTGAAATTTCCCCTCTAATTCATGCATATATTGTGAGGCAAGAACTCGTGCACCTTATCCATTTTGGTAATCAGCAGGACATTTACCTAATGGCCCTACCATTGAAAGATATGCGAAGCAAATTTAGTCTATTCAGTCCTCTGTGCTATGTGCGGATAAAATATATTGTCATTTTTGTTCTTTATCCATGACCATAATAAATGTTGTGGATGTTCTTACTCTTGTTCGTTTAGGTTCTTTAAAGCGTTATTTATTGTTTGTTAATTATTCTCTAGATTTTAAATTGCATACTTTCAGAACTTTAATATTGCGGCAAATTGTGGGCAAATGCAGCTGCAATTATGATCGCAATTTGGTTGTTGAGGCATAAAAAAATCTTAATATTGTGACTAGAATTAAAAACCTTGATAATTGAGTTCTTATTCCAAGTGTTATACTACAATATATTTATATAGTAAGTATATTTAAAGATCAGATCAGTTACTAAAAATCGTGATAAATATGCTTTATCCCATGTGTGATTTTTAACTTATTAGAAAGTTTTAGGATCTTTGTTTGGCAAGAAGTTGATATCTTCCCATTTCACACATTCTGTCTATCTGTGCGACTGATGGTTGCATGAGAGCACTGGGTGTTGCGTCCTCCCCTTGTTTGTTGATAATTGTTGGAAAAATCTTAACATTTCACCTTCTTTTGTTTCTTCCACTTTCCTCTTTAAACTAATCTGAGCTAATAATTGTTGTTTTTGTCCTTAACTGAGGTGATTCTAAAATAGAAATTTAGTAGTTGTTTAATGTTTATGATACTAGTTAGGCGTTAGATTCTGTACTTAAGATTTTTAGTGCCAACAGACACGAGTGACTTGTGACTACCCTTTAATGATTTTTTCCTTTGCGTGAAAAGAGAATGCGTAGTAGTAGTAGTAGGTTGATGGTGATATTCGTCCACCTATTTGAAGAGACATCGGGAAGTATGTTGGTGATAATATTGTTATAGTGCCAGCTTGGCATGGTTTAATTAGAAGTGGCTAATGATTTTCCTCGTGTTTGATATGACATTGAATCGGAGGTTAGGCTCTTGAAGATCGCTTATCACTCTAAATCTTGCAATTGTGATACATATGATGCTTAAGATATCATCCTCAGATTAATTCTTTGTTTATTAGGAATCCGAGATTTGGGAATACTTGATGAAATTTTCGACTTTGTGATAACCTATTAATATAAGTGTGCATCTGAATGGAAACCTGCTTCGTAAATGACGGATAAGTAATGGCCAAAAGGATAAGTGGTCCTGATGTTCAAATATCGTCGTTTCTCTTCTTCTTTTTCATCTATCCATCGCTTTGAACTTTTTGAATATCCGTCTGTTTATGAATTTTCTTTGGTCTTGATTTTGAATTTATGGTTGATATTGTTCATGTTAATTAGGCTACCTTGGTGAACGCTCTGATTTAGTTGTTAACACTTTGAAGAACCGTGACATTTTCTCCTTCTATAACCGTGCGTAACAAATCCACATTAATGATTTTTCTGTTGCAATGGGTATTACGTTTTTTTTTCTTTTCTTTAGAGGTTTTAATTCAATATTGAAGATTCAATCAACTGGGTGATTTCTTGTTCTAATCATAACGAGTTATTCTTTTGTGCGCTATAATTTCTTGTTCTCTATACTTAATAATCCAAATATACGATAGATACTCTATTGAAGTTCCACTTGATTGCTTGCGATCACATCAAGAGGCTAGAGTCTTGACCACTTGTTGTATATGAAATTTCACTCGTGACTGAGTAAATATTACCGTGTAAGTGCTCTAATGCTTCTTTTTTATGATGTATACTGGATTTAATAGAGTAGTAGATCTTTTACTTCCGGCGCTAGTGAAATCTAAGCGGGACAATGTGTAACTCCTTGTCAAATAGTGAAAGAAAACAAGCTTAAAAAGGGAGGGGGTGGTGGGGTACTGGGGTTTGATCATCAATGTCTATGCAGAATGGTGCTTTAACTTTTGTCGTCCTTGTTGGGAATTTTGCATGCTTTATTAGAACTAGAATTTGCACACCCTGACTTTAATTTAGTGCTTGCAAATTCTTTTTTTCTTAAATAACATATTTGTAAAATTATACTAAATTGTGTTACCAATATTTTAGCTAAAGTGACGCTTGATTTAGAAATTATAATTGAAAAATGTTTGCACGTCTCCAACTGACAGCTGTGCATTTATGAAGTGAGCGTTTTCTTATTTTCTGGAGTGTTGTCTGGATATTATTGGGGCATTTGTTTGGGTCTTGGGTTGTCCAATAATACTATTTTGGGTCAACAATGATATGATTTTAAAAAGCCCGAAGACTAACAAATAGTTGAATTAATGTCTCTTTTAATTTCAAGGATGGCCTGCGGTGTAGTTGGGTTTTAAGCAAAGAGAATATATTCAGACCAAAAAATATAGGAACCTCGACCAATATCCTCTTCCTTGTGTAATTTTAGGTTCTATATGTAATTGAATCAGCTGGGGGAAATTGAATAAAAATGGTGTTACCTCTTTTCATACAAATTAAAGCCAACCAACTTATATTAAGTGTTTTAAAAAAAACACCAGCAAAAACTTCGAATAAGTATAGTTTTGAAAAACTTGCAATCCTTGTTTCGGAGGGCGCTGGTTTGTTTCCTCGGTAAAAACAGAGAAATGTTAAATCTTCAAAAGGTATTAAATTTAAATGCATTTTTAGTTATTTCTTTCTTCCGGAGGATGATTGAGTACCATTTCTAAAAAAGGAAGGAGTAGCAATAAAGAGATAAAAAGGATCGTATAAAACTTTACGACCCATGAAGATTTAGAAGCATGAAGCAGCATTATAGCGCGTATAAAAAAGCCACTTACATCCAAAAAGGAAGAAGGGGGTTGGGGTGGATGGGCACCAGAGTTGTGTGTCCTGGCAATGGCACGTAACTGGAAAGTGCTCCCAATATTGTTATATGAATATCGATGTAAAATTATACCACATGACCAAACTTTCTGGTTCAGTGTGGGCAGAAGCAATAACGAATGCACATACACCTCTTGATGTTTTATAATTACTGTTTATTATTTTGCAGCAGCTTGTATTTTTTTCATTTGCTTTGAGAACTTTCCAACATGTTACTTAGCACACGACACTTTTAACCGATTAGATTCGTATCATAATGACTGTTCAAGCTGTATGTACGTAGCTAACTACACTACAAAGAAATAAGGAATGAAATATGGGAATTTGGAGCGCTAGGTTTATGTCGACAAAGACAAATCGTAGAGAACCAATATCAGTTTGAAATAATTCACACATAGCTTTACACCACTCAACTTGTGGGCTTGTAGATAAAATTTCCATGGACACCACCTAGCATTTTGACCGTTGACTCATGCCCCATCTTTCAATTGATCTGTCTTTTCCCTTCAAAATTCAGGGATAGATAGATGGTGGGCCAATCCTGCGATAGTATACTTTGTTGGAAGCTCTTCAACATCATTTTGCTAGTGTCCACATTATGGGCAGTTGCGACGCGTGAGTAGTTGGCAAATCATTATAATGATATTCTACAATGATGAACATAGAAAACTCTTATTAGTACAAACCAATGCAAGTCCCATCTAATTCTTCTTGCCGGATCCCTATGGTCAATTTCAAGCACAACTCTTACACATTACTATCCACAAACAATTATTGAGTTAAGAAGCAACCCACAGTAAGGTCACTCTCATTTGCAATGCATTATGCATTCTTCAACTGCACAGTTTGAATTTTCTTTAAGAAAGCAAAGTCCAAAATCTGGAGGTAACCATTTTGTGTAGAAGACAGAAATTTAGGCTGGCACTTCAGTACTTGTGTGACATGGGAGAGGTCGAATTCCATGAATTAGTAGTTGGTAAAATGAAACATCCTATGTACCCATAAACGTTTCAAAGTTAAGCCAAGGGTAATTTGAAGGTTTTATTTTTACCTAAAGGCTTTCGAACCACCCAGATAACACACGTATTATGATATCGCAATTTGTGTTTTGCTGACAAGGTGACAATTCGGACCCGCACATGTGTTTCTTGTTCTGCAGTGCTGTTTGATATGCTTGGCTCTGATCAATATTTTGATCCACGTTTTGCATCCCAACAACTCGAAACAGTATCAAAGTATTAAAGGTCTAGCAAGTAGTCTTTGGATTCTAGTATTTATCGTTGCCAAACCAAGGTAGTAATCAACATATAATAATATCTACTTTCAACTTCCAGAATGTGATCAAACTGCAATTCCACCAGAATGTGTCAATATTAGTCATCATAAATTAAAATGGAAAAAGTTAAAAAGATAAGCCTCCAATGGTTCATATGGGTGTCTTACCTGATTTTTTCTTTTGTTTTGGAAGTGGTGCAACAAAAAACATTCCCACGCAATGGTTCATATTTCACATAAAAATGAGGCATTGTGTTACAGCCAGGTCATATCCTGATTGGCTTTAACACATTACGGTAAATTACTCAAACTTTGTTACAGCTGAGCCATATGTTGAATTCCGTAGATGCTACTTTTTTTATGAACCTTTTTTAGTCACAGGTATTCTTACCTTACTTTACCTTATCTTTCTGATTTCTGCCCCCAACCGGATCATGTATATAGAACCATCTTTTTCTTTTTTAAAGTGACTTTTATTGCTGGCACATAAAGAATAGGGTCCACCCATTGACATTTGTTGATTAGATGGCTGGTCAAAAGCGAAACACCAACTCTCTTGAATCACCAGATTCAATGATCCGTTTTGGTGAGGCCACAAGAAAAATAATTGAAACATTCTGTGAGAACTACTTGACAATCCTTGACTTGGAAAGTTCTTGAGAAAATGTGAACTTGTGGATTATCCCCACCACATTGTTTTCCTACCATCCTTGGTACTCAAACCACGCAATCACTACCATCGTTTGTATTATGTGACAAAAAATTCAGGTTGCCATTCCACTCTTGTATATGTTCTTAAGGCTAAACAATACCCATGTTGGACCTAGCACTTTATTTTCTCTAGCCATTTAGGCTTTAGATTAACACATACACGTGACACCTCTTTTCTGTGTTGGATTAGACCTTGAGAAAATGTAGGGTGTTTTCTATGCTTCATAGCCTTGTGTAAGGTCAAGACTCAGATTTGAAAGGCTGAATAGAGGGGCATCGCATGTGGACGAGGTTGCTATCTGTGCTTTTATTCACGTTGTGCCCATTTTTTCCTTCATCATTATACATAACTTTAGGCACGAAACCAAGGACGATATGGTAGGCCCACCGCCAGTTGGGCCCATCTCTCTTGCATAGGCCCATTTGATCATAATAATACTTTTATTATTATTATTATTATTATATTATTTCTTCATATTTTAAAATCATACACATAAATGCCAAAGCTAATAAGACCTATATAAATTTGTTGATTTATTTAAA